TTTCACAAGGTATTTTACAACATATGTGAAAACATGTTGAACATCTTGAATATATACAATTTTTATTTCTCAATTATACCTCAAAGAAGAGAAAATTAAGAGAACAGCTGCAAAGAAGAGAAAACTAATGATTGAAGTTTGTAAGAAACTTCTAATAATTTAAATAAAAAATTTAGTAAGAAAAAATTAAAATGTTCCATTAATTTTTTAACTTGAGTGCATGTTGAGATTATATTTTAGATATATTGGATAAAATAAAATATAGTATTAAATTAATTTTCACTTGTTTCTTTTTACTTTTTCAATGTGGATACTAGAGAGTTTAAAATTACACTTGCGGCTCACATCATGTTACTATTGGACAGGGCTATCCTAGAGGAGGAGGGCACAGAAGTGAAAAGCTTCATCAAAAGTTAACCTAACAACTAGTAAATTTTCACAATTTTCACATGTAAGTTTGTAATTAGGAACTGAATCCCTCAATGTGTTGGCTAAATAAAGGATTTTTAAAGTATTCATCCTCAAATTTTTTTATGCATGTAAGTACACAGATTTTTGTCTGTAGGTTCACAAAATATAGATTTCATATCAGAATGTGAGAATCTAAAAAGCAGGGCAGTGGAGCTCAGTAGCTAAGGAATTTTCTTTCAACATGCGAGTGCCATGCTTTATAATACCTTGCAGACACTGAATCCCAAGTTCAAGCTGCTGAGTTGCTTACCCGGGTACTTTTCCAGTTCCTGAAGTTTGGACTCATTAATGTCTGTGGCTATGACTTTGGCACCTTCTCTTGCAAAAGCCTAGTAGACACAAAGTACAAACACATCCTTTGTTTACTTAAATAAACTGTGCTCGTGAATGGAACATCATGTGGTCTTTTTCTCCTTTATCTTATTTTCATTGTTCTTTTCCCTATAAGATAGCTAGAATTTCAAACTATCTAGTCTTACCCCTTCTCCATTGTTATTATTTTTATCATTAATTAGAACAATGTGACATACATTGTGCCTGTCATCTGACTTAGTTCCTTTAAGTAGTGTCAAACAAAATAATGTTTTTTAAAAAATGACAGCTGTTTTTTAATACTCTCAAAATACTGATCTTCTATAATGAGACTATATCATTTCTGTGTCTGAGTTACTAAACTCCAGATAATAAGATAAGAATTGGTTGTTTCAACACTTTTCCTACCAAGAGTATGATAGTGCTTTCATAAATGTCAAACGATACCCTGCCGTTATACTTAAGGTACAATATTAGCTCAAGAGGGGTACATAATGTAACAGAAATTGATATAAATCAGGAGACAAAGGTAACCTGTCTTATAACTCTGGAGTCACATATCTAAACTGACACAATTTCAGAAAGCTGTGTAACCCTGTTGGCTGTCTGTAGCAAATTTATTATGATGCAGAGAAACTGAAGTAGAGAAATTTCTCAGAGTCAATGGTTATCAGTGATGTCATGTACTAAACATGAGGTATTCATTCCTTTATCTGCCTGGGGTCAGGAGTAGGGAACTATTTATTTATTTGTTTATTTTTATAACTTAAGACAACATAAGCACAAAAGTAAAACAAAAAAGCAGAGCAGAAGTAAACAACCATAGCATCAGTCCACATAATTCAGTATGTCAAGAGTTAGTAGGCAAACAACAAAGATAGTAACTTATAACTTACTAAGGCAGCTGCTTGGCCAATCCCCTGAGCAGCGGCTGTCAGGATGATGACTTTCCCATCAAGTCGACCCATAATGGAACCTGTGGTTTAATCTAAAGACATGTGTGTTTAATGGGTTATACTGTAGAACATGAGCCAGCAGTAACATCTAGAATGAATAGTTCAGTGTGCTCTTTTAAGAATAATTTAGTGAGCTCCTTCAGGAACTTGAAGACAGCACCTCTGTGCAAGTAGTCCCATCATCTGAATTCTCCCAGAATGTTTCCTCTACATACCTAGCTTTGTATATGAAACGCATTTAGCATAACCCACTGAAGTGATGACTGGTGACGGACATTGGCCTTTTTTTTTTTTTTTTTTTTGAGATAGAGTTTTGCTCTTGTCACCCAGGCTGGAGTGCAATGGCGTGATCTCGGCTCACTGCAACCTCTGCCTCTCAGGTTCAAGCAAATCTCCTGCCTCAGCCTCTCAAGTAGCTGGGATACAGATGCCTGCCACCACGCCCAGCCAATTTCTGTATTTTTGGTAGAGACGGTTTTCCACCATGTTGGTCAGACTGGTGTCAAACTCCTGACCTCTGGCGATCCACCCACCTTGGCCTTCCAGAGTGCTGGGATTCCAGGCGTGAGCCACCGTGCCCAGCCCAGACATTGCACTTTAACCTACCTCACCCTTCCTTCAGTACCTGGAGAGGACAGCCTTTGGTGCTGACATTATTCACTACCACCATCATTCTCTCCATGACCCCTGCACACATTACTATGGCATTATTTGTGTCCTGACTACTCAGGGCTGCTTTTTGATTTCTCTTCCATAAACTTTTGTTGAAGTTTGCACTATCAATTGCTTATGGTTTTTTCTTGTCTCTTGAAAAGATTTCATAGTTGGTCTCAGATATTCATTGAACAAAAAGGATGGAAAAATCAAATCACATCCAATACTCCCATTTTACAGATAAGGAAACTGCGGAAACCTGCCCAATGTCATAGAGCCAGTCAATGGGAAAGCCAGAACGAAGACTTCCTGACTCTTTTGCTATGGGAACAGTCCAGCCCACAATGCTGCTGATCCTCTTACAAAGTTTAAGCTTGAAGTAGTAACACATTAACAGGCATAATCAGTAATTTCTAAAAGATTGAGAAACACTGACACAGGGGCTTATATGCATGAGATATTTTGCCAGTGCTTGGACTGTAGATCACAAGGGGAGAGAAAGAGCTAGTGGTGAGGCTGGGGGTGGAGAAGAGTCAAATGACCATCAAAAGAGGCTGTCTTCAAGGACACAAGCTCAGACTCTTGCCGGGCTCTGTCATTAATGTGTGTCTCTGACCTCATAAGAACGCACGAAGTGGCTGCTGTGTCCAAAGCATCATATCCACATTTCAGGCAAAAAGGGAGGAACAAAAGTCAAAAGGCTTTCAGAGAGGCCTCACCTTTCTACTTAAGAAGGAAACCTTCTTAGAAATTCCCACCTGCAGTTCATTCGCCAGATCTATGCTACTTGGCCACTCCTAGCTGCAAAGAGGTTGAGAAGTTGGGACTTTTGTTTCCAGCTTTGATAAAGTGAAGAATAGGGGAAAGTGAGTTGGATGGTGTTGACGAACCAACTTACAGTACATGCACAACTAGCCTACACAATCACTCTGCTCCATTATCTGCCTGATTTTGTACAGGTTGATAGCCTTGCCTGGACGGCTTCTATTATCTAGTCCATTCTCTTTGAACTTATCACAGTTCTCTCTTTAGCCAAACTTTTTTTTTCTGTTTTTCTTTCTTAATACCCAATATGCTCTTCCACTTCAAACCTCCACACTTGGTCCAGTGTCCACATGGTGAAGGGCAAGTTACTCCTATAGGCAACAGCCACTGAAGGATTTATAGAAAGGGTGTGACATGATCAGATTCGTATTTTGGAAGGATTGCTGTGGAGAACATACCTGGGCAGGAGCATGGCGTGCCATTAGGAAGCTTCTAGGGTTATCTAGGGGGGCACTGGTGAAATAGCAGGCTGGAGAAAATAGCAGGGATGGAGAGATAGGTGGATTGCAGAAGTGTTTCAGAGATAAGAGATAGGCAGGGCCTGATCACCAATGGGGCTAATTTCAAAGAAATGTGATTTGCCCAGTGTTTTACAGCTATGAATTCAAACCTAGGCCTTCTTGTTGCAGGTCCAAGGGAAGGTCTCATGGAATTGTCTCACGGTACTCAAAGCCCTGAGGGCCTCTCTAAATCCTCACTGTGGCACCATGAGCCTGTGCCTTGCAGACTGCTGACCCCAGAAAGTAATGGACAATGAGGCGCAGCTGCTGCTGCATCTCTGCGCTTGTGCTTAGGCCACCTTCTTGGGGCCGTTACAAGGCAGTGCCTGAGCATGCATGCTTACTAAGGCAGACCCATTTCTGGGAGACACAGAGCTCCTCTCCAATGGATGACTGGCTGGAGAAGCTCCTTACTACCTTGCTGAAGTTCTCTTAGACTGCACAGCTGTCTGGGATGCTTCCACTCAACCTGGCTTCCTTCTCTTCCTCCCTCGCAGGTGGATTTGCATCGAGGTCTGATGGCTCTCACAGCCTTACCTAATTCTCTCCTCATTCTCTCTCACACCAGCATTTCCCCTGATAAAATCCATGCATATTTAATTCTATCTTGGAGTCTGCTTCTTGGAGGAGCAGACTAACACAATTATGTAAGAACTGGCTCCAGGGATCAGCTTACAGCTCACTGACTTCCTCTGAGTTTGTCCACATTTTTTAGGCGATGGAGAAGCTGGGCTTTAACAGTGCCTGACCTACTTTGATGAAATGAATTTTTGCTTTTTTTCTTCTTACACAAAAGAGAAACTTTCGCTTTCAACATGGAATGATATACTTCAGAAAGATATACTTTATCTTTACCCTCCTTGAATCCTAAGCATGGTGTATAAAAAACTATTTTACAACACCGTCATTAGTGATATTGGGTGTACGGCCGTGTAAAACCTCCAGTCAAAGGTTTTGCTAGGAATCTTTGACATCAGAAGAAGCATTTCCAGAACCATTGCTGAAGCACAGAGCAGCCTTTCTACGCACTCTGAAAACCTCCTCTTAGCTGGCCTTCCTGTCTCTCTGGGACCAGATTTTGGGGTCAAAGCCTTAACATTTAATAGACTGTAATCTCAAACTAAAACAGATTTATTTGAGAAAACGAGTGCAAACATGGCCTGAAATGGTAAATCAAGGCATCTCTCAATATATCCAAAGTGAAAACCATACACGTTGGCTTCCTTAGCCCAAAAGTTGGAATCAAAATGTTGATTTTTGATTAGCAGAGACACAAACAGCATATTCAGGAAGTCATTGTTTTCAAGAGCCAGGAAGAAAAATGTTCACTTAGGATACCGTAAGAATCCTTTTTTCTTGGGCTACTTTATAAAACATACATACGACAGAGTTTCAGGCTCGTTAAAAACCCATCTTTACACTGATCCAACTGCTCAGATTAATTTTGAAATAGGCAACGTGCAGAACAAAACAACATCTAAAAATTAAACCTCCCCTGTTTCCTTTCTAAAGTTTCATTTCAAAAGTATTAGAAATCTTACTTTAAGCAGCGAGGTGATGGCGTTCTCCAGAACCCGGTGGGAGCAACAAGCTTGAGACCTTTGTAAAGAAGAAAGTCAAGCGCTTAATAAAGCATGCTGGGATTTGTAGTTTCCCTGCTTTCAGAGTTTAGTGGCTCCATCCGTGCACTTTATAAATGTGTGTGCTGCCATCTAGTGGAGTTCAGGTAGAACTGTAAATTCCAAGTAGAAGGTGAAAAGTGGAAAAGCACCTTACTTAGGATGTGGAAATCATTTCCTTCACTTCAGCCTCTCCACTTCTGTGTTTTGTTTATGCCTACTATGTGCGGTGCCAGGGTAGACAAGATTGGCTGAGCTGGAAACTGTGTGTGGAAGATAGCAGAGCAACAAAATAGAGGGACTCCAGGTCACTGAAAATCCTGGAGCCTTCTTGGCACTTGGCCTGGACTGCTTTAAGGGAGAGAAATAAAAAAAAAATTCCTTTGTGTTTAAGATACAGTTGTGATTTTTATTTTTTTCATGCTCAGACTATTCTAACACTAATGCACATTTAGTGGCAGAATGCCAGGAGCCTCACTACACTGGGAATGGGGTCGGGGAGAACGTGAAACTTGGATGACAGGGTGGAGGCTTAAAAGGGAACATGTTGAGTTAACAGCAAAAAACCCCAGTTTGGCTGAAGAGAACAGAGATATAAGGCCAAAAAGAAAGGACTAGATCTCATGAGCCCTCTAGGTTAGGATAGCAACATGTGCTTTATCTGTAGTGCCACTGAGCAGAGTGATTGTGTAGGCTACTTGTATATGTACTGTATAAATTG